CGTCGACTTCATATAGAGTTCTGAAGCTGTGTGGTGTGGAACTAAGCTTTTGTTTTAGTTTTCCAACCAAGCTACTAATATTTATGATACAAAAGCTCAGTCAACTCTGATGCGGGTAAGGAGGTGTGATGGTAATCACAAATAACTTTAAAATGGTGGGCTTCTAGAGAGACTTGCTCAAGTTCTCATTCCACCAGCTTCCCTCCTAGGGAGAAGTATTTGCTATGGATGTGTTAAAACAGGCTGGACTGTGTTCTAGGGGGGCCACTGTGCTGTGAGATTATAGCAGGGAGCTTGTTTAGTTCTTCTCTACTACATCTCTTACAAGCTGCGTAAGAAGGCCCATTTCCTGTTCTCTTTGTTACCTTCAGACAGGTGTAGTACCTCCCCCGTATGAACATACACAGCCATCTCCTTTCAGCTCACTTTTATAATCTGGCTTCTAGGTAGGCCTAGACCAAGCAGTATACAAGCTTTTGGGGGCAAGCGCTCTTGCCACCTACCTCTTGGATTATGTATCCTTTGGTGCTGCAAGTGTATTGGGATAAATTTTTGTGTGGAGCTTTTTAGGCTTAACTAACTTTGGGGAAATGTGCTTCATCTGTTTGAGTCAAGTCAGAACTTCATGAAGAACAGTGACTAATAACAGCTCTAGACACCATAACCCCTAGTAAAATGACTTAACCCAGAACTGGAGTTAGTTACGTCTTACCTCCTTGGCCCACAAGTCATTGGGAAAGAGCTATCAGTGTGGATTGTATGCCCATCCCCATCCAGATTCTCAGGATGATGGGGGACTTCTCTCAGTCCCTAACTCGTTTGGCTCTCTACAAAGAACAGTAACCTCCATGACTTCATGCAGGGTTAAGGAACAGCCCCAGGTCCCTGCTGCATTTAAATTGTTCACCAGTTCTGAACCCAAGGAAACCTATTTCTCCCAAAGGCTAAAATAAACTGAAATGCCTGAAGGTCAGCATGCAATAATAACCAACTTCCTTAACTCATAAAGTAACATATCAAAGAATGGGACAAGCTTACCTTAGTCACAGCAGCTACTTTTTTGCTGGGCAGGTCCTTTATTATGTATAATTTGAAAAAAGGGCAACAGCTAAAGAGGATGATTTAAGCCACATATCTAAAAAGTTTTACAAATTACAAATTGTGAATTAAATAGAGCTATGCTCTTTGCCTGTAATTAAACAGCTTATAATTTGCAATTTTAAATTACATCTAATGTAGATTTAATTTACAATTATTTTAAAAGCACAAGTCTTAAGAGTCATCATTCTTCAGTAAGATTAAAACACATGAAAAATGGCTCTCAGCAAAAAAAAAAAAAAAAGTTTTAAAAATGAAATTCGGTGTTGATGTACCCGGTTAAATACACTCATCTAATTTCACTCCCTTCCAAAACCACTAAATCTTCAGTAAACCAATTTAAAAATAAAAGAAAAATAGAAGAGGAGATGACAACAGTAAAACTTTAGAAACTGCAAAACATGAATGTGACCTAGCACACTAGAAAAGCCCAGTTTATACTGCATATTGCTCAAAAGGCACTGGAACAGGGCCACTGTAATTGGAAATGAAGAATGAAGTAAATCAGAGAGGATTAAGTGAAAGCTATTTGAAAACCACCCCTAAGTGTCTGCCCCTCACTCCCACAGAAGACTGGAGGTTTAGTTCTGGACAAAATAATACTAGTCTCTGGAGTGGGGTGTCCTCAGGCATACTAAGTACACCAAAACCACACTGGAAGCAGATTAGGTGAGTTTGGGTATACATAATGCTGAATGCAAGGCCCTGGTTCGTCTTCTGCTTCTTAACGTTACATTAGCAAATGCTCAGAAGATTGGAAGACTTTTCTCTGGGGGATCTGACCAGCCGAGGAGAACCATCTAAGATACTAACATCAGAGGTTCCCCGATAAAGGGCCCACTCAGATCACCCTAAGTAAAGCCCAAAGTCCCTAAGCTGCAACCATGTATGCAGATCTTCTAAAGAGTTTTTTTCGTCCTTTCATTTGTAGGAGCAGATTGAAAAGGACTACCTTTTCTGGAGGAAAGCTCAGAAGTGGTAACAGACAAAAGCAGAAAAATAGCAATTTGGAGGAAAACAAGAAAGCTAATATTAATGAACTCAGAAAAAAATTGCTCTGCTACATTGTGTGCTTGTAATGTGAGCTAACTCATAAATTGTTAGTAAACAGGAGAAGTATACAAGTATTAACATGGAAATAATGTTGGCTCCTATGTGATTTTTTTTCCCTAAGAAAGAGGAGCCAGAGAAGCAGATTTATAAACTTCAGCAAGAAAAGGTCTTCACTTAGTTGCTGTACTGGCAGCAGGAGCCTTTCAAGTATGTTTGTAAAACAATTTGAAAAGTGCTCACCCCCAGGGCTCCCTCCTCAGAGAGGTATACACTGTTTTTTGCAACTGTTGACCTGGTTACAGTTGAATCACCTATCCTGACCACTGATTGGCAGCCTTGTGGTTTAGGTAACTCTCTCCTTCCACATGTACCTGAATATCTCCCAGCCCTACTCTTAGCATTTTGGTAGCATATATATCTACACTATTTTTTAAACAGTTTTACTAAGGTATAATTGACATACACTAAGCTACAATTATTAAGCATACATACAATTTGATAAATTTGACACATGCCTACACCTCACCCCAAGCAGGATAAACATATCCATTATCCCCAAGGATTTCCTCCTGCCTCTTTTGATACCTTCCTGCTCTCCAGCCTCCCACTCCCATTCACAGACTATTATTTTCGAGCATTTTAAACATCTCTGTGGTATCCTCCAGCTATGCTGAGAGCAATCTGTCCCAAATTAGCTCTCCAGGCACCAATTTCTGTTGTTTTTTTAGTGCTCCATTTACAGTTGTATATGATTTGAGTGGTATGCCCCAAGCCTATCCCCCTCCCAATAAACAGTTATTTTTAATGTTTTTGTAAGAGGAAATGTTTTTCTGGACTACATATACTTATGTCTCAAAGTACCTCCCACAAAATACTAATTTCAAAGGGAAAAAAGTAACTGAGGAGAGTCCTGACAAACACCACCTTTATCAAGTGATCAAAATTAACATCAACCATAATGGAACAAATGGGAATTGTGTCCACCTAATAGGATGCAGTGAAATGAACAAAGCACCATGTCTAATTTTTTTTTTATTAATTTTTATTTATTTATTTTTGCAGTACGCGGGCCTCTCACTGCTGTGGCCTCTCCTGTTGCGGAGCACAGGCTCCGGACGCGCAGGCTTATGAGCCTCATGGCTCACGGGCCCAGCCACTCCACGGCATGTGGGATCTTCCCGGACCGGGGCACGAACCCGTGTCCCCTGCGTCGGCAGGCGGACTCAACCACTGCGCCACCAGGGAAGCCCCACGCCTAATATTTTTGCCCAAACTACATAAGCTGAATCTAGCCATGACTTAACATCAAAATGAGACACATTTGTACAAAATAAATGGCCTGTGTTCTTCACAAATGTCAGGTTCATGAAAATCAAGGAAATTCAAAGGAATTTTTTCAGATTGAAGAAGGCTAGAGACTTGAGAATTAAATGCAGTGTGTAATCAGGGACTGGATACTTTTGTTATAAAGGGCATCTTCGGGACAACTGCCGAAACTTGGGGTTGTGGATTCGATGGTAGTAATGTAACGGTGTTTGTTAATTTCCTGATTCTGATGGTTGTATTGTGCTGCAGGAAAACATCCTTGTTCGTAGCAAATACATTCTAAAGCTGTGCTGTCCAGTATGGAAGCAACAAAGCCATTGGTACCTATAAGCGCTTCTGGCATGACACATTGAAATATTTTTTGGATATAAACAATATAAGAGTAATTTCACCTGCTTTATTTTTTAATATGGGCTGTCAACATAAAATTACGTGGGTGGGCTGCACTGTGTTTCTGTTGGATGGCACTGCAAAGTGTTCAGGCTGATTTGATACCGGGTTAGCAACTTATTCTCAAATAGTTCAGGAAAAAAAAAAGTTCTTAGTAGTACTAAGCTGCAACTTTTCTCCAAGATGGAATGAAATTATTTCAAAATAAAAAATTACGTTAATGAGGGGCATAAAAAGGTATAAAAGTCTTTTTAGGTCAATAGGAAAATGGGCATCACGGAACTTTAAAGGCGGCTTTAAATGATGTTAACATTCATTTGGGGCCTATCATGAGCTGAACGCTTATGACGTTAGGATTTTAAGACTGAGCCACCACAGCCGTCCCAAGTATTGGGAATTATTTTCTGGTGAGGCTATCATGGTGCCTTTACAGAGCCGCCTCTCCCTAGCAGCACGAACCAAGTACACATAAAGAAGCTTATCTGTCCCACTGGATGTCGCCGGCTCCTCGTGTAGCCCCTTATGGGTTGTTCACTTGGCCTCTTCACCACCGATCTTACTGCCCATCTCCTGTTAGTTGTGAACCTGCTTGACCCTCCCACCCAGTTTTGCCTCTTTAGCCTTTCTTAGGAGGGCACTCTTGATTTGATCAGGCCTCTTCCCAGTGTCCTGTTTTAGCCTTGCCTTGAAAGCAGGGTAAAGGCAATCCTCCTTCTGACAAGAAAACTGAGGCTCAGAAAGGTTAAGTAACCTGTACAACACTATGCAGCTGAGATTCAAATCTAGTTCTAATTCATTCCACTCTGTTATACAAGGAGGTACACCTACATATCCAGCTTTGACAATCCATTTTCTCTAGTTGTCCTGTTTCCTTCATAGAACTTATCACAATTCATGATATTGTTTGTAGTATACCCCTCTGGAGATGTTAGTTATAGCTACATCTCAGTGCCTGGAACATAAAAGTGCTTAATAAATATTTATTGAAGGAAAAAAAAGGGTACCATTTTACCAATGTGTAAAATCCTTTTTCTTTGATTCTTTTTTAAGACTACAATGCAGTTATTTGTAAAAAATTTTTTTTCTTTAGGTACATTAAATGTAAAAGTGAATACTTTCCATGATATGTGCAAATGGCCAGTTCTTTAAGAGGAGAAGTACTGAATCTTTATAAAAATGTAAGTAATTATGTTGCCAATTTTATAAATGTTATATGACATAGATTGTTTAGAAATATATAATCTTTCTTTTTTAAGCTGCTGTATCTTGGACGAGACTATCCAAAAGGAGCAGACTATTTTAAAAGGCGTCTGAAGAGCGTTTTCCTTAAAAACAAAGATGTGAAGGACCCAGAGAAGATCAAAGAACTTATTGAACAGGGCCAATTTGTAATGAAAGAACTAGAAGCATTATACTTCCTTAAGAAATATAGAGCTATGAAACAACGCTATTACTCAGATACCAACAAAACTAACTGATCACTATTACTATAATTTGAAAATCAGTGCCAGCTGTTTATGTATACCAGCTACTACAAAAATAATTCTGAAATGTCAAGATAATACATTTTGTTAAAAATACCTTACTGAACTAAAATAGGTTTCCACTTCTGTTCAAACTGAGAGCTTTATCAGCAACCTTTATGCTCAATTTTTATACTAAAATAGCAACTTAACTATCTGATGCTGCCAACTACCAATTAAAAATTGATGAGCACCCAATTTTGAATGAAAATATAATGTACTTAATTTTTAATAAATTTTTGCCAATTCTTTGCCCATCTCTGCATTTTACTGAAAAAAGAATGCCGTTTAATGCACATTTAAGTAAGCAAAATAATTTCTTGCAAGTTTATTGCCCTTAACTTTTGAAGGGGTTCCTTATTTTTGACCCCATTTGGTACATTAACAGCACAGAGTCAAGGTTCACTGCAAAAGAAAGAATGATTTAAGTGCAGTTAGTAGAAATAATAAGTATAGAGTAAGATTACTTCTGAACTCGAAACAGCCTGCCAGCAACTGGCATCACATATATATATATACCTATCTAATTATTTCCATTATTAATTCTTGCCACTGGCTGCCTTTGGGCCTTAAAACAAATCACCCGTTGTGTATCAATTACCTTCTTCAATAAAAAGTAATAAATAATGTTATTCTATTCTTTTGTCATAAAGGCAGATTTGTTTTGCATCCATTTCTAAACGAGTTAACATGGCACAGGACCTAAACCTAAGGTGGTTTTAAGCAAACACTTAAACCTTTACATAATGTTCACAGCACCTTTCATAAAGAATATATCCAACTTACAAGCTGCAAAAAAAGATTTACTAATATACTATAGCGTCTGTGGCTTATAAACTACCCCGTATCAATTATGGGGCTAATGTTTCAAATTTCCATCAAGAAGCACACACTACTGGGAATTCCCTGGCGGTCCAGTGGTTAGGACTTGGCACTTTCACTGCTGTGGGCCCAGGTTTGATCTCTGGTCGGAGAACTAAGATCCACAAGCTGTGCGGCACGGCCAAAAGATAAATAAATAAATAATTTAAAATTAAAAAAAAAAAGAGTACATACTATGATAGTCACCATAACTATTTTTATTACATTACAATAATTAGGAGCAGTACAGTTCATGACAAAAATATTACAAATTTCAGATCACTTCACAGCACATACTCCTATAAACATTTAAAAGTTAATTTTAATTAAAAGAGTGGTCATTTTTAAATTTAATGTTTGATATGACCAACATTCCTAGGTCAGCGCAACCAAACGATGGAAAACAACTGGATCACACTGCATATGTCTCACAAAAAAAAAAAAAGCACAATGTACAAAATGTGCATGTTTCAGTTTACACTATACAAAAATAGTTAAAATACATTCCAGGTAAACATGTTACATTAAGAAATAGTACTAGTAAGAAATTGGCACTCAAAGGAAAAATGCAAAAGTATTTTCAACATGAAAACACAAGACAGTGGAATTGGAAATTTTTGGATAAAACATTACATAACCCATTTAGCTCTATAGGGAAGGAGACCTTCTGTAATTGACACTTCTGTAGGTAATAACTTTGTTTTTCCTAAATTCATCTAAAAATTGCCTATTATCATCCCAAACAGGCACTTAAAACTATTAAACTAAAACAAGTATTACTAGTTACAACTCTTTTTAAAGAACTGACGTGAATATATCTTTAGAAAGAAAGAAATTTCATTTTCTGAAGGAATTTACAGCTGTTCAATTTATGCTATTCAATTTCTCAATGCAGATTTCATGCTACCCAATATCAACACCAAAGTTATTAAATATAAGTTCAGCTTTAAAAATAACTAATGGGTTGTTAAAAATCATTAATACATAATCATCAAGAAATTATTACTTTTTGGCAAATGGAAATGGCAGATAGTTCTTACTGCCTACAAAAAAACCTAAATGTGTATATATTGTTTAGAAAAAATGGATAGAAGAAGAAAAAATCACTGGAATACAAATGAGATGAACTTGTGCAAACTGCAACTTAACATGCCTCACAAAGTTTCTACATATTTTAGGACAAAATTGTGCAATGGTGGCTAAGATTTTGATAACCTATAAAAGTTAGGTTCTAATTCCTATGCAGTGTGACTCAGTTAAAATAGAGCCTAGAATTCCTAATTGGAGATATTCACTCAAATTTTACTACATACTTCTGCTACATTCTTCCATAAACATGTTAAGTCTAAACCTATGTAGTTCAGCAATTTTTTTCAACTTCAACAAGGATTTTTATCTTTAAGGCTATAATAATTAGATAGCATTTGTTATTTCTAGGATTATCTCTCCCCTTTTAAAATCTCTACAAAAACAAACATTTTATTAAACCATTCAAAATTCACATAATAAAGGATAATTACCACTGCCATAAAAAAATTGCCAGCTACATAAAAAATTCAAGAGTCCTAAAACTCCCCTCAGTTATACACTGCAATTCCTGAAGTATGGCCATTTCTTTCTCTTGTGTGGAAACAAGAGGAGGTACTATATAAGTGTAAACACCCTAACTAGATAATGTTCCATAAACCTGTAGTTTAGTATAGCATCTCAGAAATCATACTGATTTTTACATAGAAGTTTCCTTTTCTGTGAATTAGGTCCGGCATCTGTTTATTTTTACCCAGATAAACAACTATTTTAGAATTCAATGTTTAATTTTTAAAGTCTATTTTAATTACTTATGCAAAGAGACCATACTACACACGAGGGAATTTTAACATTATCTGACATACAACTTAATTGGTACTATAACTGTCCCAAGAGAATCACATCATTATGTCAAATAAAAAACAATACTCAAATTTTACTCCTTTAAAACAATGAAGTAAACTAATTTAATTTTTAAAAGTAGCTTGATTAAACAGTTACATTGGAATCAGAGCAAAACAATTATTTCAGAACTGGAAGAAACTAAGCTTAGAGACCAAATCACTTCTTTGCAAAACTACAATATGCATTATATCTGGGTCATGTGCCAGATGCCTCACTAAAATATAGACTGCTCTAGAATATAAGCACTACCTAAGGACAGGGATTATGTCCCTTGTTTGAGGATACTCTAATATCCCCAGTGCCTTGTGTAGTGCCTGGCATCTAGAAGGCACTCAAATATTTGTTGAATAAATGAATTCTGCTAAAGAGTAAGATTTATGAATAAATTTTAAAGTATCTTTCATTGCAAAATTTTAGTTTTTAAAACAATGGAATGTATCATTAGCAGGGCTAGTCCTCGTTGTAGATTACATAAGGAATTCTTTCAGCACTACCTCTGTTAAATTCTCATTCCACTGGATAGGGATCTGACTCCTCATAGCAGGTATGAAAATTCCTACTTTGTCCCTGATGGACCAGGCAGCAAAGAGATGATGTTCAAAGGATAAAGATTAAATTGCCACAGCAACCACCTGAAAATTAACTCTTAGGTCAAATTCCATTATAGTGTCTGTCGGATTATGCTGAGCCTGAGGAAGTAAGATGTAGGGCATTTTGATGTGACTTGATGGGAAGCCTTCATGGAGATATCCAAAGCAGCAATAAATCTTTGAGATTAGGGGAATTAGGAGTATTAAAAGAAAAAACATCAAGTCATGGGGCATGTAGAAGGGTAGGCAGGCAAGATGACACTAATATAGGAGAAGTCCTGAAAGCGGAGAATGGATATTCAGAAATAAACTTCACCTCTTGCACAATTTTGCCTAAGACTGGCACTGAAGATGATAACACAGGTAAAAAGTTACAGATTGTGCTAAGACTGACAAATAGGTATATCCTTATGTAAACTGAATGTAAATCACAGAGTTATAATGCTAGATACAGCCTTTGAGATGACTTCTTTTAACATGAAGAAATGGATAGTAAGTGATTTGCCTAAAATTGGGAGTTATGAAAGACACATAACTAGAATCTAAGTCACCTTCCTCCTTGTCCAGTGATATTTTCACCTCAACACACAATCTCAGTTCAAATATTTTAAAATAAGTTAACATTTTAAATGCATTGAAAGAATCATTTTAACATTAATTTATCTATCTTATAAGCATCAGATATTCTTAATTATGGACCAGACTTGTAAAGTGTTACTTTAGCCAGTGTTAAGAGAACTAGCCAATACTCAAGATTTTGAAACTTTTTCATTTTGTTTAAAAAAAATTAAAATCTTGCCACTCCACCCTAAAACCTCATTTAAAAATAATGTTTTTTTAAAGTTTCGTTTCATTTTAACAAAAGTGACGTTCCTGAGTAGGACTACCACATAGTGAGAATGTACCCTGCTGAGCTATCCAAACTGTCTCCCAGTCCCCATTTTTGACCAGCCAAGGCATGACAACATTGGAAGACCATAGGGATGCAGTCCATACTGTGAAACTCTCAGTGAAGCTCAAAGCTCACACAAGGCCTGCCCTTGCCACCTTGGTCTCTGTAACACCTACTAAGCTAACTGGACCAAATAATTTTTAACATCATTACCAGTAGAATTAAAACTACTTTCAAAGACTGAAGTTCAAGAAAAGATTTATGCTAAGAAAGAGCAATCTGACACGGGGAGACTATATTTAATTCCTATGAGAATTTTTGTAATTCAATACATGTTAAATTTTTTTCAATTATTACAAAAGTTTAGTAGCATGTAAATATAGCCCCAAAATGGTTGTTATAATCCTCATTACATTCTGGGTTTGCCTTAACAGGAAAAGCTATTCAGAGTATTATAGGAATTCACCTAATGTAGAAAGTAAATGGCCTTTTAATATTTTCCATTGCCTTGTATTTTTTTCCATTTTTTCCCTTTTTATAGAAAAAATATAATATTTGGGGGAACGTGACAAATAGCAGTGGAAAGAAGGAGAAAACCTTTGTGAACAGTGTACCTTTACATTTATTAAGGGTAACTGAAACTACAGGACATGAAACCTACAAGATGAATCTACAGGAAGCTCATAAATTTGTGTTCCCTCAATGCTTCAGTAAAACCAATCGTGAAATCTCAACTGAAGTTATAATTAGTAATTAATCCATGTATATGATTGATAAAACACAGAATAGGGATGATTTGAAAGGCTCATTAAATTTGTTTCACACTGAAGTTCACAATTGGTAAGAAAAATAGGAAGTAATCAACTGCATGCACCAAAAACCCCAGGACAGAAATCTCAGGTGTTCAGTTTCTTTTTCACAGGCATTGCTAGTTCAAAAACCAAAACTCAGGGAATACTGGCACTTAGAGGAAAAAAGTTTCCACTGTCATTTTAAAATAAGCATTCAAGATAAAAGCTAACAGTATGGATGGAGCAGAAAGACAATTAGGTAATGCTAAAACAAATGCTAATAATTTAGTGTAATGTACAAAAATTACCACTTTTACTTAAGTACGCCTTAAGAAAAAAGTACAAATTGTATTTACATAATTATACACTTTGTCTTTGACTTCTTTTTCTTCTTTTTACCTTCTTTGCTCATCTTTTCTTTATGTTTTCGAATTTCTCGAACTAATGTATAGAAGGCATCGTCAACACCCTGAAACACATAAGTATTAAAACGTGAATATATATGATGGTTTGAGGTATACAGATAACAGAAAAGATATATTACTAGTGGAAACATTAATATTGAGAAGGAATAAGGATACATAACATTTCTCTTTAGACAACTGAATATATCAGACTTCTAGGATTCTTAAATGTCTTCAAGGATATTTTGTTAACGTTATAGGAACACTGATTTTCACAAAAGGCAATGAAAATCAACGGCACAGAATCTTACGTATGCTTAGCCAACACATGACTTTCCCCCAGAACTTAATTTGCTACTAATTTTTCCATATTGGCACACCTCAGTCACTGAAATCCAAATGTATTTGTGTATATATGTGAATAAGTATTTATACTTAATTATCCTTGAGTTTCTAGATATTTGATATAAGCCATGCAAGTAAATACTAATTCCATAAATATTCGCTGCATTTGACCTCTGGTTCAATACTTATTTAAATCCATTAGATTTAAAGAACTACCATGAAGTATACAGTATTAGATTATACTTTCAGTTTTCTAAAGGCATTAGTTTCAGTTCATATATTTATGATATGAGAAGGAAATTTAAAGTGACCACAACAGGGGACTTCCCTGGCAGTCCAGTGGTTAAGACTGCGCTTCCACTGCAGGGGACGTGGGTTCAATCCCTGGTAGGGGAACTAAGATCCCACATGCTGCACAGCACGGCCAAAAAAAAAAAATTTAAAAACAAGTAAAGAAAGTGACCACAACACAAGACACAATACTTTGAAAAATGTAAAGCCTCTATTTGTGGAGAAATGAGCTAAATCATTTAAATGGTGGTAGAGTCATGATTTGGAGATTTTTTTAATTCATTATTTTTTTAGTTTGTTTAGTATATTAAGTATTCAAAATAATATAAAGTCATATTAATATTTGACATATAAAGTCAAATGCTGTGTATCTTCAGAGAAATTTCCATTTGATCATTTTGGCCTACATCTAGCTGTGATCAAAAGCAAGGTATCCAAATCAGTAATGGTTGAAAGTGATTTCAAGTCAGAATAATTTTCAACCTAATCATTCATACAGGACATGAAAAATGGCACTTTGAAACTGGTAACAGGACAGTAGATTTTAACCCTGCAATCCTGAATTATACAAGATCTATACATAAGTCAATTCTTGTCCTACCCCTATTAAAAAGCAAATTAAATATAAAAGCAAAATAAAGAATTAAAGAAAAAATATGATCCTCTATATATTTTAATATCTGTTTAACTGATTAGTAACTGTCAACAAAAGCCTATTAACCTAATGATGTTTTCAAACCTAGACACTAGAGGGAGTCTTAGGAACAAATACACAACAAATAAAGTATAAATCAAGCCACTTTAAGAACAATGAAAACTGGCTTTTTACTCAATTTAACCACCTCTGCTGAATATTAATATAAACACATTCATTAAGTTATATTATCTTAAAAATAATTGAAAATTTAACAGCGATATGATTTCTCCTTTATGCATTACTAAGATCTACAATTACTATTTCAAAATAATAACTAAATTAATTCAGGCATTTTCATTCTAGTTACATTTAACTAACTTTCACAACAGATCTAAAGTTTAGAAAAGTATTACCAATATCTTTAAAGAATTAAACACAGAGTGGGAATGAGAGGCTTGCTCACATTTTAACAACAGTAGTGGGATAAAAACCAGCATTATTGATTTGAATACTAGTGAAGAAAAGTCCCCAGTAAAGCCCCCAGACTGCACTCACTGATGTTCCCCACTTTCTGATATCATTACTGATGTAACATACACTTCTGTTTCACCCAAAGGAGAGAGAAAAAGTGATAAGACAGTTTATCAGCAATACAGTCAAGGCTTAATATATATAAGCCTTCATGCTAACCTTCTAAACACATAAAGAGCAAAACACTTCCAATGATATAATAAAGAATAATTATTTTATCATTATAAATAATACCAACCTTGACTAATTTCTAACCATAAACTCTTAGAATGGGATGGAATCTTAAGAGAGGATCTACTCCAACTCCCCTACCCTTCACAAATTCCCTTTGATCACACATCCTTATGTAGTCTACTCCATTTCCACTGTTTTTATAATGAAGAAAAACGTCAATGATACAAAAATGCTGAAGCAGATAAAATGAAAAACCATGAGATGGATATAGAGAAGACACATCCTAAGGTGAAAACAATATATAAGTATTTAGGAGACAATGAAGGCAGAATCTGATAAGATTACCTTCTTCTAAGATTCTGACAAATACTTTTAGTTCATACTGCACTGAACTCTCCTTTATATATAATCTTATTAATTTCAATGATTAGTAAAATGTTAAAACTGATCAAAACAGGGCAGTGAATACCCTTTTTACATTCTTATATACACATTTAAAAGACAAAATAGGGTACCAGTAATTATTTTGTTTAAACCCATCATTTTAGGACTAAGAAAAACTAATTTGCATGTATTTATCATTGTCAAATTAATTTTGTAAAAATTTTAAATATTACCAAGTACACTTTTTTCTTATATAAATGCTATTCATGATCACTGAAAAAATAAGGATTTAATTTATCATGCCCAACAATTTCACATTCAGACTACACAGCCACTGAAATATAGTTTGCACAATATGAAATGTTAAAAAGTATATGCTTTCACCTTTGTTTTAAATAAAAAAGCATAAAACTTATTTTATTCTAAATAGTTCTACTGTAAAAATCATCTAATAGTAAGACAATGGGAGAAAAGAAAACTATCACTTAACTCTGGTCATGGCTACTGTTATTTTAGAAGTTTTACTTTTCAAATTGCATTGCAATGTTAAGTTTTATCACAACTTCTAAATTAAATACTGCTTTATACAATGATACTCAAAAAATATTAAGAGTTTATAAATCTCGGGCTTCCCTGGTGGCGCAGTGGTTGAGAGTCCGCCTGCCGACGCAGGGAACACGGGTTCGGGCCCCGGTCCGGGAGGATCCCACATGCCACGGAGCGGCTGGGCCCGTGAGCCATGGCCGCTGAGCCTGCGTGTCCGGAGCCTGTGCTCCGCAACAAGAGAGGCCACAACAGTGAGAGGCCCGCGCACCGCAAAAAAAAAAAAAAGAGTTTATAAATCTCAATAAAAATTAATGCCAATCATTAATTTTGCTTTGTTTCTTCTTCTCAGTTTAGTTCATTAGTATACCACATAATATCTTTTGGAACTTAGTCTACTATTCAGAAGTATATTTTATATTTTGGGGAGATACATTATTTCATACCTTCAACTCATATAGTAAAGAATATCAACCCTTTAGTTTAATCAGCCCCCAAAATGATATCCTACAATTTTATTTCATGTTCTCACAGAACATTATATGTTACAAATCATATGCATCAAAATCTTAAGCTCTGGCATGAACTTTTTGGCACCTATTGAGTGAAATATTTTCTAAACAAGACCAAATTTAATATTGGTTGGTTCAGAAAGGAAGTTGAGAAATTCCACTCAGTAAATCCAACTGGGCAGCTACTGTGTGCCAGGAACCTCGTTAGGTCATGGACATGCAAAGATTAAAAATATATGAAAAAAAAAAATATGATTCTGGCTCTCTAAGATTCTCACCATACAGGACAAACACAGAAGCAGTTATTTCAATTTAATATGGTTAAGTGTGTAACAGTTAAGAGCAGTAAACTGGGAATACACAAGAAGTGCATTATGCCCAGTCTAATGGTTTTTAAAGAAAGATTCTTAGAGAACAAGAGATGAGACAGTCATGAAAGTGTGTTAACTAGTAAGACTAGGGGATAAGAACACTGGCATTCCAAACAAGAGCAACACAAGGGAAGGTAAGAAATAACATGGCGTTGATTTACATACGAACAAAAAAATTTCAGACGGAGAAGTTTTTAAGAGATAAAGCCAAAGGCTAGGGGGGAAGGAAGGTGTTAAGAGCCATATATATGCTACGAAACTTGAGATTTTATTCTGTAGGTAACAGGAAGTCAGTAACTAGATTTAAAGATAAGAAAATGACATTTCTTTTAAATATCTCTCTCTTTGCGCTGTGAATGAAGGCAGCAACAGGTAAACCAAGTAAGAGGTTACAATAGTCCCAGCAAGAAATGATAGGGGCCTGAACTAATGATGTGATAAATGTTAGAATGTACCATAATAGGAATCTGTGGTTGCCAACAAATGGGTGTGAAAAAGAGGGATTTAGGAGTCATCCCAACACTCCAGGTTTCTCATCTGGGTAAAAAAGTGATGTTGATGCCACGAAGTTAAGAGAGCACAGACAGAACAAGTATTTGCTTGTGGAATGTCCAAAAGAAAACACGCACTGTAAGAGTGACCCTTTCCCATCTTCTGAGCCATTCAACTTACTCCTCCTTTATATAGTTCCTCATATTTTTTCTCTCTAGACTCTATGACAAATGCAGAGTAGTCTATAGGCATCAAAACCATCTCAATTATAATTAATACCCATTAGATGAAAAATAAATATAATTAAAAAAATAAAATGAGAAATATAAATAAATGTATTAATTGTGGAAACAAACTACAAGTTTCTTATTTTTTATTACTTCAAATTAGAATCCCACACCTACGTAGTTCTAAAGCGGTTGCTACTTTGTTACCTGTGAAAGACATCTGCTTTCTGCAGAAATTAATATGCTGAACTTACCAGATTACATTACAATGCATTTTTAAATTTTCACACAGCCAGGAGTCTTTTCTTCTTTGCTGATTTTTTTCAATCTGTATTGTCGGATCTCTCTCACCAATGTATAAAAAGCATCCTCCACTCTCTGCATTGTAAAACACAACTTCTTTAAAGTCTGTTTCATTGGTAATAGTAATTTATTGGGACAGCCATGTGCAAGAAATTTGGAATTATGAGCTTTACTTGAGAATGTTTTGTTTTAAACAGACATCAGATTGTGTGAATAAAATGGGGGATTCAATTTTAAAATATGGGCTTAAATCCT